ATTTACCGGCGGAGCCGGCGACCACAGCAGATCATCCATAATGAACAGCACCTGTATTTTTAGAGCAACAGAAACCAGGTCTGTAGTCACATGGTTTCCCACACATATCTGTGACCCCGACACAAAGTACCGATGACAATTCCACTGTAAATTCAGGATCGGGCCAGAACTCACCCACCAAATGTCAGGTCGTCCATAAAAAAAAAAAAAAAAAAAAAGCAGCTGTCCCTGGTTCTGATTGTCACACCGTTTTATTTGTAGAATATTTATCGCACCGCGGGGTAAACTAAAGTGGGGAGTTATGATTACAGGAGGTAATTAATCTGCTTCTGGTACAAACTGTTGTTGGAGTTCATTCTGGGCCACAAACCCTCACCCCCCCGCTCGCTCTCCCCCATCAGCTGGTGGTGTGGAGTCGTTACCAACGGCAACAGGAAAAAAAATGTAAGAAAAAGTCAAGTTGGTGTGTGATAACTGTTGATGTAAAATACCAAATGTTTCTGACTCCACTAATTAGGCTAATTAGCTGTGAAGTATTAAGAAAAAAGAAAAAGAAAAATTGCTGCTCAGTCGCTGCGTGGTCGTTAGCGACGCCCTGGAAGTAGCCTTAAAAGTTTGAAACGTTACTCCACTATTATTAAAGTTCAATACTTTAGAAAATCAAGCCGCTTCTGAACGAGGTTTGACATATAATTTCCAACAGTACCATTATGGTCAGCGATACTAGAGCATATTCTGCAGCAGGTTAGGGAGATAAAGGACAAAGGTGTGAATTAGAAGCTGATCCAATGACAGACATAAATAACCACAGGCTGTGATTGACAGCTGGAACATCACAGGTTCATCACAGCATAACAAGTTCAATATGTCCCGTGTACTAGCATCTCTGTGTACCAGCATCCCTGTGTACTAGTATCTCTGTGTACCAGCATCTCTGTGTACTAGTATCTCTGTGTACCAGCATCCTTGTATACTAACATCTCTGTGTACTAGTATCTCTGAGTGCTGGTTTCTTTGTGTACTGGTATCTCTATTTTCTAGCATCCCTGTATACCAATATCCTTGTGTACTGGTATCCCAGTGTACTAGTATCTCTGTGTAATAGCATCCCTGTGTACTAGTATATTTGTGTACTAGTACTGCTCTGGTCAAATTGAAAAAAAAAACAAACAAAACCCAACATTTTAACAACCTTTCCGTGCCAGTTTAGGTGTACAGTGTACAGCAGTACACAGGCCTGTGTGTCCCACTCCATCAACCTCAGCAGTAGTACATGAGTATTACTAGGTTTTATTTCCCAGGTTCACTGTAGTAAAACTCCTCATCCTGGGCCTCTGTGGCCACAGCCTGACCTGAACGCAGCTTTAACGTGATCAAAGTAACACAGACGAACTCGTACCATCTTCCGATGCCGATGTTTCCTGCTCCTGCGAACCTTGTGGAGGAATCGGGAGCCCATCTTTTTGGCGTACCACACGGACATGAACATCCTGCTCCAACAAACGCTGCTGCTCCTCAAGAACGACAAACGGTTCCAGGGACCCGGCGTTCAGACGAGCGCCACAAGTGTCTGCTTTTCACACGTACCTCAGAGACCACGAGGTTCAGGCCGTGCCATGACGGTCCCTCAGAGACCGGGGTGTCCAAGTATTTAAGGATGTCTCCAAAAACCGTGCTTCAGTCTTCGGACGGAGGATCCAGGCAGGCTGACGTCACAGAGGAAGCTCGATATCCTCCGCCAACCCAGGGCTCCAGTTAATAAAGTCCAGATTATACAGCAGAACAAAGCTCCTGTTATTATCTCTACTCCAGAACCGGCGGCGCGGAGAACGGAGAAGAGGAATTTAGAAAAAAGGAGGCCTCCATTCCTCTTCTTCTGTGGCTTGGACTGCCACAGCGGTGCCTCCCTGCTGCTCTGAGCTCAGTGAAAATGCAGTTCATAATTTCTGCTGCTACTGTACTCAACCCCCGCCCATCCTGCTGCCAAGGGGAGAGGAGAGCGAGCAGCAAAGTTTGACGGCAATTACTTAGCTGTCTGGCTGTATAATGTGGAGGCTGGTGATGTGAGGGAGGGGGAGGATCTGTGCCTTGGCCGGACATCGAAGGACAAGCGGCTCAGACTGAATGGACTCGTCCCAGACTACAGGCTACGGCGGCTACGATGTCTCCATTTTAAAAAACAACTGAAGCTGTGTGTGTGTGTGTGTGTGCGTGTGTGAAACTACTTAAGGTGAATTATTGAATGAAAAGTCTTCGGCCATCTTTGTTTTTTTTTTAAGGTGAATTATTCATGCAACGCAATCAAACATGTTCATGAAGGTCATGCTAGCACGATGTCCCCCTGGTGGCATGATCGTGTTGACACACGGTTGGTAACGAAATATCAATCTTATATAATTGAATCTTTCTCATTAATTAAAATGTATTTTATCGGGAAAAGAAATTTAAAGTCCCTTGTAATTAACATGTGGTTCCTTTAGGGATCGAACCTAGAACTTTCTGCAGGTAAGGCAGGCGTGACGACCGCTGCACTGTGGAAACTGATTAGCTGTAAAAAATTGATTTCTTGAAAGACATTTATTATGTTTAATCTCTATTAAATTAATAGACATAAGGTCATTTATCTCAGTAATGAGTGAACACTACATTTCCCATGAATCATAGCAACTACGGCAGGAAGTAGATGTGTCAAAGTGTCAGCCAGAGATGTAGAAAAGCTTGTTTGTTTTCTAAAACTTATAGAAATCTCTCCCTCCAATACTCCGCTCTGATCGCCGCAAGTCCAGAAGTCACCTCTAGGTGGTGCTTTTACATAGCTGTTGACCCCTGTTCTACACAGTCGTTGTCTTCTGCTGACCAATGGGCTCAAGGCTTCACTAGAACCATCTGGACTCTACAGGATGAACCTGTGACCTTTGACCTCCAGTTAGTCTGAAATATCGATCGTCGTCGTCTCTGCTTCATATTAATCCATTTCACCAAACAACGGTGGAGAAGAAAGTGTCTTCAGATCCTGGTCCAGACCAGACTGGTACCAGTGACCGTGGCAGTGTCACTGGTACCAGGTCTAGAACCGACCCTGAGTCTGCGGTGACAGGCTCAGATTCCAGGTCTTGAATCAAAACCTCAGACTGAGAATTTCTGTGTTTCCCAGTGAAAGCTGAGACGTGTGTGTGTCTGCAGCCGGAGGGGACGGTCGACAGTCGACACCAGGACGGACGTCCGTGGACCGCAGTCGAAGACAGACCTCAACAAACTCAGAGATGTCGGGATTTTTAAAAAGAAACCCTTCTTCGACTGAAAAAACCAGAACGTCTTCCTCAGCTCCACGGCTGAGTGACAGGTGTGTGAAGTACAGCAGCAGTGAACAGACTGGTGTGAGGACAGGCTGAAGGACAGTCTGTCAGTGGACACGTCCTCTGATTGTCCCTCAACAGTCAACATTCGGATCTTTCTGCTTACATATTTTCTTACAATCACCAAACTCAGCTCGCTCCGGATCTTTTTGCTTACATATTTTCTTATTTCATATCTTTCTTTTTTTTCATGTATCTCCTTCACCGTCTTACCCACCGCTGCCCCCCCTCACACACACACACACACTTACACCCCCTAGAGGACCTGAGCTGCCGCTGCACAGTAATTACACCAAAGCTGCAGAGACACATTTAAACATTTATTAAAGGGAAAATAAAGGAGGACGGAGAGAAAATGAAGATAGAAATCAGATCCAGAGCAGACAGCAGCGTGGAGCAGAGAGGAGGGGAGGGAGGGAGGGAGGGAGGGGAGGCAGGGAGGGGGAGTGTCATGTAGAACTCTGGGGAAATGGGAAAACGTTAATTGAATCCATATGTTTCTGATTTGATGCCAGCTGCCGTGCACGTGTCCTACAGGGTCCCACTGTGGACTCTGCTGTGACAGGTAACAGGATAGTCCCTGACTGTCATGTAACTGGAGTGTAACACTAACTGGCGGGGGGGGGGGCAGGGGGGGGTGAGGAGGAGGAGGGGAGTAGGGGTCCAAACAAAACCACCACAACACGCTGTCTTTGACTGGAACGTCAAATTAGATTCTGCCCAGTCAGGTCAAAGTTCTGCAGGGACAGCGTTCAAAACAGCGCCCCCTCATGTTGCAGACAGGACTAATCAACAACACCCCAGAGACAAATCCTACCCATAATTCAACAGGAGCCCCAAACAGGAAGTGACAACCTCCTGAATGAAGACACATCAGATCAACATCAGTGACATCACCACAGACGGTCATGCACATGGAGGCGACGCTGCAGTGCATTCTGGGTACGTAGGGTCCCCACTGCAGCAGTGTGGAGTGAGAGATGCAGATGAAGACGTTACTGATGAAGCTGGAACTGCACGTGCAATGATGGCCAACAGGAGGCGCTGTTAGACAGGACGTAGTCAAGGTCAAGGAGAGCAGACGGAAACAGTGTCCAGAGACAGAGACTTGGACACAGTGATGTCTCCGCCGTGATGACATCATCACCTGCTGTTTCCTCCTGTACTTCTCTTAATTGTTGGCTGTTAATAAACCTCTTTATATTGTTTATTTTTATATATATATATATATTTTAGTGCTGAGGAATGAAATCTTCTGCCAGTGTTTTTGTCCTTTGTCGTTTTTGCAGGACAGACAAAATCATGGGAGTAATTCACGGCACATAAGGCTAAGACAAACTGTCTGATCATAAAACGCTTTTATTGGAAAATCAGCGCAGCCATCACTTCAAGGTTATGGAAGTGGCTACACGGTGTAACACTGACCCCTACAGGATCCTGCAGTTACGGCTCATTATCAGCATCTTTTTTTTTTTTTTTAATCTAAATTTAATACCATACCAAATATCTCACACTAGGTCAAATATCAAGTGTTTAAAAAAAAAAAAAATTAAAAAAATTTTCTGGCGGGCTAAAACAAAGCTATTAAATTTTGTTGTTTTGGTTCAATTCCTAGAAATTTTTTTTAGTTTTTTTTCTGGTTATTTTAGTCATATTTTAATTTATACAAACTACAAATATAGGTAATATTTTAGTTTTAGAGATCGACCTGAACTGGACACAGAACTACTGTCGTCAATCACAGTGCAACACGTCCAACAAACCACAAAGCATTGTGGGAAATTCTAATGTGGAGAATATTCTGGAGAAAATGTGTTTCTGTTTTGGGTCGTTAGCATAACAACAAACGCCAGTGTCAACCTCCACCAACAACAGGAAACATTCAGCAGCAGTTTGGTGATTTAGGGCTAAAACAAAGCTGGAGGTGAAACAGGACGGTGTCAACGGTCAGTGATGTAGAAAAGTCAACAGACAGAAGGACGGACGGACGGACGGACACAGCTACACAGAGGATGAGGCGTAAAAAAAAAACCAAACTCAAATGGGACGATGAACGATGGAGCGACACGGTGAGGTGACGGAGCGACACGCACGACTTTTTATCGTTCTTACCAGAGTGGAAACAGCAGAGGTGTACATTGGAGTGTGTCCTGTCGACATCAACACAGGCTGTGAAGAAACAAGGGGGTAAAAAGGGGGTAAATCTGGGGGGTGAGGGCAGACTGAGGGCTCTAGAGTCTGTACCAAGACTGAGGAAATTTTTTTTTCTAGCACTAAAAATATTTAATTATGGGGAAGAAAAAAGTGGTGAGGCCATGGTTTAGTGTACAATGATGGGCCCCGGGACCAGACTTTGGACCAACTCAGACAAGATTCTTTCTAAACTAAACATAGACTGGAATTTTTAGCTAATATTGGTGGACTTTTATGGGCCACATGACGTGGGCCACATGATGGTCCTTCAGTGACAAGGACAAGGTTTTAAATATAGGGTGTACGGCACCACAGCTCAACCTCTGCTCTCTGCTGCTCTTTACACCAGAAACCTCCTGGTGGTCGGACAAGAAACACTGGAGCTGTACGACGTGTGAGTGAATCCACCGGGGCTGTATGATGGCAGATCACTAACAGCTAACGCGCTCGTACAGTAACTACAGTACACACAATCGTTACTGCGATCTTGTTCCCACTGATGTCAGCTGGATCTTCTTACTGATTGGCCGTTCGCCCCTGACTCCTCCGGTGAGATGACATCATCGCCTGGGTAACATGAACTGGACCGTGGACCAGAACTGACCCACAACGTTCTTTTGTTTTGATAAGAAAATGGCGACTTAGAAAAGCCTGGTGGTAAGGTTTGGAACTTCACCCCAATCTCCCCCCCGATGACATCAGTGATTTGTTATTGTCATAAATAAAGATTTTTCAAGTCGTCTAAGAGAATGCTGAGTACGTTGTAAAGTAATATTATTTTGAGCAGTACAAATATGCAGAGATGGGACCAAGTCCTTGCTTTGCAAGTCACAAGTAAGTCTCAAGTCTTTGCACTCAAGTCGGAGTCAAGTCTCAAGTCAAAACAGTCAAAGTCCGAGTCGAGTCCAAGTCATGACTGAAAAGTGTCAAGTCAAGTCCCAAGTCCTGCCGTTTCTGTTTCGAGTCTTTCTAGTCCTTTTCAAACAAAAGCACTTTGGGTTTTAGAGAAAGTATCGAATCATGTCGAGTCAAGGGGCTCAAGTCCAAGTCAAGTCACGAGTCATTGATGTTAAAGTCCAAGTCGAGAGGCAAGTCTCTTTACATTTTGTCAAGTCGAGGCTAAAGTCATACAATTGATGACTCGAGTCTGACTCGAGTCCACACCTCTGCAAATATGTAACTAGTAACTCGTTCTCCCTGAGACAGTACTGAGTGGAACTGAGTCACTGAACGGTGTTCGATCCCCACAGAACGCGTGTCGGTAAAATGTCCGTCCTCCTCTGATCCAATCAGAGCGGGTTTCGTTTCAACCGCCGCCGCCGTGAAGCGTCTCTGTTTGTGATGTAACGTTCTTCTCAGGATAAACTGATTTGAGGCCTCGTCCTATTAATGGTTCAGGTGATCGTGTTACACACTCAGCCCTCCTGTCCTTAACCTCTGATATCACATTACCCAGCATGCAAAGCAAAGGCCAGATTTCCTCATAAATATATTATAATCCCATTAAAGGTCATCAGATCTGAGCTGAGGTCAGTGATGGTGACTACTGGACTGGAACTGGTACTGCTGTGTGTGTTAGTGTGTGTGTGTGTGTTTGTGCAGTACCTTGACAGGAGAGATGTGTGTGTGCGGTGTGTAGCCGTGAATGGCCTCCATGGCGGCGAGGTTCTTGTCGCTCATATGAAGCATCTCGGCACTTTTCCCTGGAGCCAGATGTGCTGGGCTGTGCTCCAGGGGGGGCGTCTCCTCATCCTGGTACCTGTACTTCTACGGATACACACACACACACACACACACAGTAGTGATAGTATTCAGGGATGACAGGAATACACATAATACTGCAGTAAATTATCGTCCGTCCATTCACCGCGTCTTCAATCAAGTTCTTTTACAGTAACGGAGGGAACGACTTCACAGTGATGCTAACGGAGATGCTAATGCTAAGTATATAAATATACATATATACACATATATGTATGTAAATAGATATATATGTATATGCATACATAATGTATTTACATATATATACAGTACATATATTTATACATACATATATTTATATATGTTTATATTTTTATATTTATATACATATAAATATAAAAATATATATTCATATATATTCATATATATGTAAA